AATTATATGCATTTTATTAATACATAAGTGGTGTTGCTCACCTTAGGCCAGTTAAACACACGCAAATACTATATTTGGTTATGTTAGTACGTAGAGTTAGACCAAAATTTAAGCATACCAGGACACATTCATCCTTTATGTTACACATAAACTCCTAAAAGTTGATCACCGGATCCTCATAGATCGACAAAGCGTCTTAAGATAAAAACAAGTTTACTGAGGCAGTTAATACCAATTCCAGCTACTTCGCTAAGTTTGCAAAAGATATGTACACTGAGATATTTCAATGTCAATCTGACAAAAACGGAATAACAGAGGTGGGAGTGACAAGATAATTCCACTTTGCGTTTCTCCAGCTCAGCAGCTTTGGCAAAAAGCGTCCAACAAAGTATATAGCCGCATCGCATTTGAACCTTTTGGACAGTGTGCAGTCGAAACATTACTTTGGAGAACCTCTAACAGTTCCACCTGGGCCAGAAGGATCTCACAGTCACAGAAGCTCTGCTTGTTGACCAGCACTTGCTGAGCTCACTGGAAATTTATAGGTCCAAAGCGAGGAGACATCGGAAAAACAGACCCGCGTCCAATCAGATGATATTTGGAAAAACTGACCCATCGGTCTAGCAGTTTCCGGCTAATCCGCTCTGACCGGGCATCCATACAAGCCTAATATATTGCGTATTTCTAATCAAAGTGCCATTGTCGTGCTACACGAACTGATGCAGCATCGTCTCCGTAAAACTTACAAATTTCAATGGCGACTTGCGAGGCATCTTCTTCTTCTATACAAAAATTTCAAAATAAAGTGAATTTCTTCATTATTTTCATTTTTGAACAGCTTTAACTTCAACTTCCCCGAATTAATTTTTTTATTTTTTTTATTTTTTTTTATTTTATTTCTTGTTAAAAAAGCTTAAAATTTCGTCTTTCCAACACTATATGGTATGACACAATGTGATTGGTAGCATTTGAGATATACAACTGCAACGACATCTATTGACAAAATACGAAATGACTTTTTCGACTAGAAGAAATTTGAAGCTATTTCTAATAAGGTCAGTTTTGCTAATTGATTGCATCTAAGGCTACTATGATGGCAGTCACTTTCGCTTGAAAGACGCTACAGTGGTATAGTTGTCTGAAGTTGTAGTTTGTGGAGAACTCGCGATAGGAGACTCCACCAGCTATTCTCACCTGAGCCTCGATCCATCCGATAAAAAGTTCAGTGCATACCTCCTTCAAAAGCTTTGATTCTTCAGGAAATCCTCCGCTTGAAACACGCTACAGTGGTCTCGGAGTCTGAATCTACAGTTGATGTAAAGCTGCCGACAAATTGTTCATTTTGACCTACTGAAGGGAATTTGAAAACTATTGGTCAGTTTTTGAAAAAAAAATGTAGTTTTTTGGATGAAAATGAAAGAGTTGGCGGTTGACTGATAATATATCGCAAAGTTAATAAATTTCAGCTCAGAATACGCATAAACTGGTTTAATACACTTCTTTCATACCTTCTATACATACCATACACATGTATATAACACCAAAAATACATATGTATGTACTTATATATTTTAAGAATAATATTTCACAAATTTCAATTGCATGACTGACTTTCCTGCTCCATTAACCGTTACCATTAATTCATTGCGAAATTCAATTCAACTCAAACAACGAAACAAAATGCAAAAGAAATAATGCTATAATTCAATTTTCAGTTGAAAAGCACAAAGCAGCCATTACACGCCGCGCCCAAGAATGTTGTGCATTTCCTTGAACAAATGCGCTGAGATATGCGTAATATGCAGCCATTGTAATTACAAACATGATAACAATTCTAATAAAACTGTCAAACAAAAAACATATACACGCACACATACATACATATATGTATATTTATAGCGCACTTACAACACCCAAGCGTATAAACAACTTTTGCTGATAGCCGCACTTGTAGGCAAAAACGCGACCCATGTACAGCTGAACACTCGCGCCAACTTGTTTTGCTACCAATTGCTTACACATACATATGTAAATGTGTATTCGTACATATATTACATGCATAGCTGATCGTGCTACCAATAACTTAACGCTGGCGGCAAGCAATTTGCAACGCATTACAGCTTGCAGTTGCGCGACTCGACCGCCAACTCGCTGACACACTGACTGCCTGGTTAACCGCAACAGCGCTTTGCCGTCTGGTTACTAGGCTGCGCGGCGCGGCCAAACCCAAAAGACCAGCGCGGCGTTGTATAAGACCCGGCACCGGCACGCCAACGCGCTCACGTACATTTGACATAAATCTCGCGCCCAGCACCCGACACCGTGTGCGCGTGACAGCACGTCAACACTACGCAGGCGCTCCGCTTCCGCTGGTTTGTCTTCCTCCACTTACTGTCATTGCTTCTTCTAAAGTCGCCAAAAAATGCACTTGCGCATGCGTTAGCGCTGAATATTTCAATGGCGACGCAGAAAATTGTTGCACACGCAATGCAACATGTTGCAGCTGCAACGGTCAAGTTCAAGTGCATGCAGCGCGCGCCGTATTTTACGCGTTTTCGAAAGACACAGCGTATACCAAAACACGCCTTGACAAATTGGCGGGGAAAAATTACAAAATTTGAAGTTCAATGTGTAAATGGCAGTGACATATACATATTTATATATATTGATATATAGGCGCGCTTGTAGTTGCGTGCGTGCTGGTCGGTCATTGTCGCGCTTGGCGCACATGCGTTCAATCAACCTACATAAATATGTATGGTGAGGCAGATAGCATACCAAATCGGCCTAACTGCGAGAGATTTGACAGAATGTGTGCTTGCCGGCTCGTTGGAGGTCAGCACAGCTGCGCGACAGGTTTACACGCAGTTTTGGCATGAATGCAAAGGCACACACCGCGCGAGTCTCGCCACACCGCCAGCACCCACCTCTCCTTGCGATCTGTGGCAATGCGCGAGCAAACTGTGTGCGTTTTGTACGCATTGAGTTGGCAAATTCAATGCGAGCCACTTTATTTATCATAAATGTATGTGCGTGTTTTTGTTTTGTTATTTGAGCTTTTATCTCAAAAATGTTCGTTTTTTTGCTCAATGAGTTTGACCGTAAATACGAATATGTGGTTTTTATTTTTGTCTACGCCAGATTGCGTTTGGAAAATGCAATTGTGCGCTGTGTTTGTTTATTTTAGTAACCATTTGTTGCTCCGATGTTTGTTTAGCCAATTAAGTTATTTTTTTTTTTTTTGCGGATCAATGCTTGTTAAACATTTTTTCAAATATTTTGCTCTTTGTTATCGTAGTCAATGAGGGTTTACTTCCTATTTCGGTGTATTTGTATTTATGTCTCTGCATTTCAGTGTTAATTTAATAGTAAAATATGAGAGATTTAATGAACCTACAACACTTACGTACATAGTGTATATATTTTCATAGCATTTCAATCAAACGTTTAAAAGTTATTGGTCTCAAAGTAAGACTATCAGTGCTATCATGTTTGTAATGTAAAAAAGCAAATTTCATACCTTGAAAAAAAAAAATACATTGATTCCTGTTGGAAAACACTCAGTTGATGCAAAACCTTTCGAAGTATATTCAATGGTCAAGTTCGCAAAGTTCAGGCCACCAGAGGTAATAATGCCAAAATATTCAGTGAATAGCTATAGAAGCTAGATGGGACAAATTATTGTCCGACTCTTATTTTCGCTATTTTCGGCTATAGTTCACTGAATGTTGCCTTCCAACCCTCGACCGTTGCTGGATAATTTACGTTACTTATGATTTAACATACCCTCCGAGAAAATAATTTGTCAAAGCCATTTCTCGAAATAAAAGCGTCGCCACACATTGCATGCAAGGCTTCCAAAGTATTCCATTATGAACATACTTACAATATTTTACACAAATCAGCAAACAACCATGGACCAAATTACATCTTCCATATTAGTAGACGTTGTACATGTACGGGACTCATATCTTGATTCCTTACATTCACAATTTCGTACAAATTTTCAAGTGATAAAACAATTTAAATTTTTTTTTTTATTTAGCCGATTAAATCGGTATTAATTCTTATGTGGATTATAATGAATGCCACCTTAGTATTGAGGACTTGGGAGTAATTGTCTATATTTTGTTTTTATGTTCTTTTTAGAGGATTCCAAAAACATAAAATGAAATTTAGATAGATAGGTAGAAAATTGAGGATTTGCACTGCGACCTATGGACTTGTGTGCCCTTTTCTATATCACAAATGATCACAAAGGTCCGGCATTCTGAGCGCAACTGAGATGATGTAATCTCTGTCCACATAAATGGAGCGGGCTAGGTCGTCGGCCGGCTTATTATTGGCTACCCATTTATGATCCGGCACCGAGGTCAGGTGCACACGGTTGCAAACTGATAAGCGGTTCGGCCTTCCTATACACTCCTCCACTAAAAGCGAATTGACCTCATAAGCTGAAATATGCCGCTTTAATACCGTAAGGACAGCGATAGGCTGGTTGCGACAGTTGCGGTGGAGATTGATTCCTGCACACTGACTTATAGCAAATACTTCTGCTTGAAGGATGCTTGGAAAACGTCCCAATGGTATGGATAATCTAGTATGAAGTCCCACAATGCCTGCTTCAATACCTTCCGGTGTTTTCGAGCCGTCAATGTATTACTGGATAGTTCTGCCCGTTAGCAGTAGAGCGAGTGTGGAATCACTCTTCTCCACCTTACTGCCGAGAGTAATCCTAAACTTTTTGTAAACTTTATCTCCTCTTCGTAACACCGTTGCTTGGAAGCAGGGTCCGTGGTGTGTCTTTCCCTGGTTCTTTGCCTAAACCCTCTGTTTCCACGGGCAACAGGCAACATATGTTTAGGAAAAAAATAATAAAACTTTTTTTTATTTTTTTGATTTTCAATAATCAGAACTGCTGCCATGAGAAAATAATTAGAAATTGTTATAGAGAATGAATGGAAGACTATTAATAAAAAATAATTATGCTTTTCTTCAAATAAATGTATATATGTATTTATTTTGATAACAATTCCAATTGACAGTAACAGTTTAGGAAAGAAGTATTGAATAAGAAATATGTAAAAAGTGGCAGTGACAAGCAAGATTATGCATTGAGCATTTGACTTAGATAATTATGCAATATCACAGTGCATTTATGGTAAAAAAGAAAATCATTAGTAAAATAGAACGTGCAATTATAGACATATAGAGATATAATGTGAGATTGAAAGAAATAAAAAGAAATGCGACAATTTTGTTTACCAAAGTGTTTAATTAAACTAAAATTATTTCGTGTTTATCATTTCATTGTCATGTATGTATATATGTATGTATTATTGTAAACATGTTGCAGGTATACCAGTTAAATTGCATATGGCCAGATTATGGTTGTATGTGTATTTATAGTGTATAAAATAGGTGCGTATATTCCCGTTCGAAACGCATTTTTTTTTTTTTTTTACTCGTAACTATCGGTTAAATAATTATTTAGAGAGTGCCTGGAGCTGGTTGCAAATTCACTGATGCTGCCGATTGTATGTGACCGGGCAATGGTGCCACATGTACAGCGCCACGGGTCTTGGCCACATAGGTGCCTTCAGCGGCCACGACAGCGGGAGCAGCTACCACGGCAGGAGCGGTGATGATCTGTACTGGTGCTGGGGCAGCTACAACAGCGGGCACGGCGGCGGCATGTACCGCAACGGAACCAAGTGGTGAGGCCAAAACGGCGCCATTGATTTGACTGATCAATGGTACGACCGAGCAGTGGGCAGCACCAAGGGCCAAAGCGAACAAGACTACGGAAACGGCGAACTAGAAAGTGAGATGAGAGAAATGGTTATGTATTGTTATTTCTAGAATGAGTAGATATTATTCAAAATTATATACATGTTATTTTCTTTATATTTTTAACATAAAAATTTTTGCCCAAATCGTAAATTAGGTTTTTTTTTGTTTTAATTTAACTAAGATCTTAATTTATTTTGCGTTTAAGCTTTAGCTATCTAAAATCTTTAACTGAGGAGGCTTCATAGCCTATATTAAAACTATATGTTATCAGCCCTTTCAAAATATCGACAAATTAAGAGAATTTTGTTGCAATTTTGTTTTCACTTTTGTACACAGATTCGTTTTTGTTGCCCAGTAAATCTTTCTTTTTAACACTATTATTAAATAAATATTATAGAAACTTCACAGGAACACACAAAACTATTTTATATCAATATTTTTTATCCGGAAACACTCTTGTTTATGTATATCCTTTTTCTTTGCTCACCTTCATGTTGCTTATTTTATGAGGTTTTGTGATTGTTGGTTCAAATGAACTTTCTTAACAGCTCGAAGCTTGAATTCTTACTATGATCAATCTTAGCACTCAGGTGATCTTTTATACTTCTTGATTAGCATTATGCCGCTATTTCAGAAATGTTATACATTTTTCTTCCATGTCGCGCTGAAACATACAGTTTGCTACACATACGTCATATGTATGTACAAACGGAGTATGTAAGTATGTGAACGCTTTGCAAAGTATGTGAACACTTTTGCACTTAGCTATTGTATGAACTCGTACATTATACAATGGACAATTTTTTATAAAAATACCGAGGCATAAGCAAAAAAAAATAATAAAACTCGACATTTTAATCCAGTACCAGTTCTGCTTTTCAATGGCAAATTAATAGCGAATCAGTGGCAATGGCGACTGCGCGTATAGAAATATCTACATAAATGGGCTGCTGATAAATGGGTGACGCGGAAACTACCTTTATGTCGTCTTAAAGTAATAATGTCAAGATCTCGTCCACCAACGCCACACACGAGCACACACTTGCAAGCACAAATGTGAGGGTTTAAGACACCGTGGATGTTTAAACCCGCCGCTGGCGACAAAGCTGGTCAAAACTACGTCAAAGGCGACTCAAGTTCGGGGTCGTCCGCATCTACATTCATACACATACGTATGCAAATTTATAAGTATGTCATACATGTGTGTGCTTGAGAATGCGACCTGGTAGCTGGATGGGTGTTTAAATTATACTTAATTAGATCAATATGTAGATTTGTATACTTGCGTAACCCTGCTTAGAGTTACACGTGTGCATTATGAAGCTTAAAACTATGCACATACATACACACAAATAAACTGTGTACGTCTACACACATATGTACCTTTATACGCGCTCCTACAATTACTGTTACTTTGTACTGCTTGCTTAACTATTCGATCTGCCAATTCTGGTAAGATCACTTTCCGTTTCAGAAGCAGCACCAGCTACTCATATATAGCTCAATTGAAAAGTCCCCGGCCTACCATAGTAAGGCAAATTTTTTTAGCAAAATTCGTTTTCTCATTCTACATACTCCCGTTGACGGGCGATACACCAATTATAATGACCCTCCAACTATGCCATTTTTGTGTAACAATTTGTCATTTGCTTTAAAATAGGTCTCAGTTTCGACATGTATCTCTTCATCGGACGAAGATTTCTTTCCAGTGAGTACTCTTTTCAGATCTGAAAGAAATAGTCGCTGGAAGCCAGATCTAGAGAATACGGTGCGCCCAAATCATGAAATTTCGCTTAATGACACAACATTTTTCTTCAAATCCGACCGTTTTTTTTTTTGGTTTTTGTCGATTTCGTTCTTCAAACGGTCCAATAACGCCATGTTGTTGTTATTGTAGTGGTAGAATTCTGGCAATTTGACAGTACTTGGTAGGATACAAAAGCCGGGCCGTTCCGGTTACGTAGACTCGTAGACGGACTATCGTGGAAATGTAGTAGTCTCCGTTGATGGTCTTCCTTTTTCAAAGTAATCAGTAAAAATTATTCCATGGATATCCCATACCACAGACTCCATAACCAAGCGGGTTCATCGTGTGCAGTCCACTCGAATGACTGTCGATTGAACTTGGGAGTGAAATGATAGATCCATGTTTCATCCATTGTCACATATCGGCGCAAAAACTCGGGTTATTGGCATCTGATCATCTCCAAACACTGCTCCGAACCATCAACTCGTTGTTAGTTTTGGTCAAAAGTGTGCCTTCGCGGCATCCACTTTGCACAGAGCTTTCTCTTACACAAATATTCGTGAATGATAAGATGTACATGTTGGATTGACACCTTGACAGTGCGAAAAATTTCACTATAGTGTGATCAAACTTATTTTTGGGGTTTTTCTGCTGCGTTCACCGCCTTCGGTGCTCATATGGATTTAATTCTGGTAAGGCCGGGGACTTTTCAATTGATCTGTTACGTATATATGCTTAATATACTTATGTAATAATTCAAGTGCGGCGACAATTCGATACGTCCGTTGAAAGCGGACAGTCAGGCGCACAGAGTGACAAAATATACACACGCCTATATATCATACATAGTTTGAACATGTATATAAGTGTTTGCGCAGACAGACGAACAAGCTAAGTACTTGACAACAAACAAGACAACGTCGACGCTATATTTCATATTTTCCTTTAAAAAATTCAGAATATATTCGAATTGTTAATGTTAATTTTAACTGGCAGGCAACACTTTAACGTTGACGGTTTGGACAAATAAATCAAATCCATATTTACTTTTTGCATTGTCATCAGTTTCTTTAATTTTTCGTAAGCTTTCTTATTAAAAATAAAATATATGAGTAAAAAACAATAATTGTAGAACTATAAAGCATTTCAAAGCTTTAAGTCTCTAGTGGATAAAAAATTATATYTATTTGTCTCGCAAAGATGTCAGATCACTCAAAAAGCTTGATAAATGCATACCTTCACATAACAGGATAGAAAGATCCTTATCTCAATTTTGGTCGGTCAGTTTGGAAATTTTCTTAAGGAAGACTCGTTAAACAAAAAATGTTGATTTCGTTCGTTCAGTTTGTATAGTTGATATACGCAATAATCTTGATATCCGGAATTCTGGCAAATGTGCAGCTTCTATTCATATGAAAGATTTCAGAATAATGTCTCAAAAACTGAGGAACTAGTTCGCGTATATACAGATAGACTGACAGACAGATGAACATGGCTAAATCTACGCAGCTGGACACTCTGATCATTCAAATATACACTTTACAGGGTTTGCTTTAGGTGTTTCATACTTCGTATGAACTTTGAGCTTTGGGGTGAACTTTTTGGAATATAATCTCTAATATTCAAGGGAATAGCAAAATTTTAGGTTATGTCCAACTCTCTTTATGATAATAATATATTACTATACACTATTCCAAAGGCTTTTCAAAATCACTTTATATTAAAAATCACAACACAACATTATATAAAGCAATTGGTATGCAGAAAATGAATGGTTGAACTTAATTGCATCGATAAATGCTTAATTCAAACTACTACAATGTACATTTTATACATAATAAATGTGTGGGCGTTTATTGGCGTAAGTAATAATAAAATAGATTTATGGTTTAATTTACCAGACACTCCCTTTCAGCATACATTTATTTTAATAACTATTGTCTAAGTTCTCCGTCAGAAGCCTTTCACTACTTTTTGAGTTCCATTTTCATTACTCACTAAGAGTATATAAAATAATGACTACATATCCGGTTACAGATCATGAATTTTATATACCCAAGATCAAACAAAATTCTTCTAACTATAAGCCGTTTATTTAGGATTCCCTTTCACTACCATGAATGCTCATTTTTATACTGTCCGAAATGAAATTCGACAGAAATTAGTGAGTACCGAATCGAACAAGCAAATGGCGTAAATCAAGTAGGCTGGTCTAATCAAATAAAAATAGAATGGACAGAAGTTGTAGCACTCTAATGTAGTACTCAAGGAGCTTTCCACATCAAGAAGCTATTGATTTGTCGGAACCACCAATATCGAATCACTGTACCATTTATATACCAGACAAACTCAACATTTTAATTTGACGAGGTAGCTTCAAGAAGAAATAGCTAAAAACATTATAGGATACAAACTAATCGATACAACTCAAGTCCTCGTATGGAAGCCTTTTTTACTTGACAATTATACAATCTACGAATAAATTATTGAGATCGGGCCAGGAGCCCAATAACTGCTATATAAACTAACTGATTAAAATCAAAAATATATATCTTTTCTACTTTATGCTATAAAATTGCCGCTATGAAGGGTATTATAGCTTCGATGAACCTTGATCGAAACAATCATCTATGGTTCGAATAACTAAATAATATTTCGAAAGCATGTCAAACTCAGAAGTGGCTTAAGTAATAACTCACACACAGGAACACAGACATTGTTCTTTTTAAAATTAAGCTGTCTTGACACAAGTTTTGTTTTAAGCCGGTCATTGCAAAGCTAATGAGTTAGGCATAGGAGGACATCCTTGTTCCGCTCACGTCGAAATGAGACGAAGTTGGCACTACATTTGCTTCTTACGTTTTAGCACTGGATAAATAGACTTCGCGTACGCTTAAGAGGCGCTCGTCGACGACCCGTCAGTTCACACGACAGTCGGTTCTACGTAAGCGGAATGAACACAGATTTTTATCCGACCAAAGACTGTCAACTTGGCAGATTTCTGCCGCTACCACAACAACAACAATCAGTTCACAAACCGTTTACTGAAGCTCCTGCCCTGTAAAGTTGAACTTCCCGCACACTGTCTAATAGGCATTCATACGGCAAGGTTTAAAATCGTGTTGAAAGCCAGATGTCAAAGTTGTATGAATAAGGGTGAGGTGGAAACCTCCAGGTACATTCTCCTCCATTATCCAGGCCTTGCACGATCGAGTAACCTTACCTTCGGTGAATCAGAAGTCATAGCCAAAACTGATGCTAGCTGTCTCAACAAATTTATGACGTGCTCAAAGCGCTTTGTCGATCTGTAAGAGTCCTACCATTTTTTAGGAGTTTATAAGTACCACAACGGACGTTCTAAGCTGTCCACGTGGGATCATTCCTGAATCAACCGTTTAACCTAACATAAACTAACTTAGAGTAATTTTTCTATTCTACCGACGTTGCAATTTGTAATCATTACATGCTAACAACATATTATTTTTTGTTCGAATTTCCAACATTTTATTTCTAAGCAGACCCAGTCAAACTTTACGTCTGTGTAACATGTCAAAATTTTTATACTTCAATTGTCTTTCATAATTTCGAAAACAAAAATACATGCCAAATCTATTGATAAGACGATTTTATTGTAATAAATAGTGCATTTGTATTTTTTTTTTATACTTTTTTATATATATTCTCTAATAAATTAGCATAATTTGCTTAATACAAAGAAGCAACAAAATCGACGCGTTAGTGTTTTGTGGTGATATAAGTTTTGTGCAAGCACGCATAAGTAACAACATACAGTATATTTATATGCTTTCGCCAAGTCTCAACGCGTATGTGCTAGCTAAATACAAGTGTGGTTTTTGCTGTTGTAAACTAGCATAGCTAAAAACATAAGGACGGAACAAGTATGGCGCGTTTAGTATTCAGCGAAAAAATCAAAGGAAAACAGCGTTCACGGGTGCGTAAAACTATTTGCTCACATACAAACTCACACATACCCCTATTCACACAACGAACGACGCAGGATACAGGCAGGCATTTTCATTAAAACTACCAAAAGCAACCTTAGTGAATTTAATGATTTCTCTTGGCAGTTTAGTAAAAATATCCTTTAAACACATACATCACACGCATACAAAAATGTCTAAAAAGAAGCGCATAACGTTAATAAGTTTCTCTGAAACGCCGCGTTTATCTCGCATACAGCCACGCACGAAAGGATGGCGCGGTGTGAGCTTGCTGCTAGAACCAACTACTAAGAACTGGTGGGAGGATCCTGACGTTGTTGTGGCGTAAGTATTTGCTTTAGCTTTTTAATATTTTTTTCGCTTTATTATTGCATTGGTGACTGCGCTAATTTGTCTGTTTCCTGCGGTGGCTAAGCTTTTCGCGTTATGCGTGACAAAAAGCGTGTGTGATTGAAATTTCGGTATGCCAGTAATGGCCTAGATATGGTGATTGCTTTCATGCGACTGCGTTGTGTTGAAGTCGATTTAGTAGACTCTATGTAGTATCAAAGGTAATATCAATTACTCTTTTTGCTAGTGAGAGACGGTTAATGAAAATCAATCAAAGACATAAATTGCCTACAATTTGGCAGGGGAATAAGTTAGAACGTTAATGCAGAATTTTATTATTTCTTATTTTCTTTATTTTTTTATTATGCATGTGCGTTATTTCTACCGCAATTAGCAACAAAAAATACAACAAAGTTCCGTTTATCCCTGTAGGCAAATTTTTAGATTCGAAAGTATTAGTTAAGTAGCTAGATAGGTAGATAGAGTGGCTGTCTAATGACGCATCTGAACCTTTAGGTGAACCACTGTGATACGACCGAGACTAAGGGCCCCTCACACTAATGGTTTCTCTCTGAACCACCCCGTGTATCTGATGAAGTTCATCAATACGAATATATTGATCTGTGCAACCTTGGAGACGTCGCCAAGAAACCCTTTATCGATTGTTTTCATATATAGAGCTTTACATAGAAGATGTTTTATAATCTCTCTTTTTCTACATCCTGACATCCCCTTCTACCTCCTATATCTATAGTAGTCATTACAAAGCATAGAACGTAGTCCGCTTCTTTTAAACTTTTTTTTTTGTCAAAAGCTCTTTGTAGATTCATTCCCAAAGGAAATGTTCATTTTCCATTTTATTCGAATCAAGTATTTAATATATTGTTTTAATTACTAGGTAATCCGGCCACCCGTTGCTGTGGTATACATTTTATACTATCATTCATATAATAAACTATTCAATACGGTGAAAATTATATTAGCGAATAAAGGCGAAAAGGTTTTTGTCGGTATAAGAATCCAAGGCTGATGTATCAAAGTCTGGTTACCAGCCTTTCTATCCAGTTAATAGAGTTGTATGCTTAATAGAGCGTCTATTTAATCGAGCTTTCACTGCATTTTTTATTTCTGAATTGTTTTTACTATCCTATCATCTAAGTTTGCTCGAACTGGACACAGTGTGCTAAATTTTACTAAAATCGATTCAGTAGTTTATTAGTCCATCGCGGACAAAACAACGTGACGTGATAATGATTATATATTCTTTAAAAAATTCCAAAGTATGGCTGTTAACGAACAATAACGTCGTAATCGAGTTTGAAAGCTGACCGTCGGGATTAAGGGGACGATAGGTTAATGCTCCGTTCTAATAGCAGGCGTCTAAGTAACCGTAGCGGACCAGGATTTATATGTGGATCACTATTAACATGACTATTTTTGTAGCTTTCCCTACATTTGATACTGCAGCTATTTGTCGTTGTGGTCCGATTTATACAATTTGTTCGGAGCATGTGACATTGCCTTGAATAATAACCTCTGACCAAATTTAGTGAAGATATCGTGTCAAATAAAAAAGTTTTGCATGCAAAGACTTGATTGGGAACGATCGTTTATATAGGTTAGGTTATGTTAAGTAAGGTTATATGCCCGACTGCCACGTCATACATCGACCAAGTGGTTCTTAATAATACCAGCTGAATGTTCAGCTTAATTTGAACTGATGTATTCGTCATGTAGGAGGTCAACGTTTTTTGCGAATTTTAAGAGCGAATTGTTATCTTATTTTGATACCTCATCTAGTCCCTTAACTTGCAAAGCTGCTTGATATGCCTCATTATAATGCTGGACAGGAGCATAAAATGGCTTATGGCTACTTCCCTGCACCTTTTGCATTTATCGTCTTTACTTATGCCCATCCAACAACTGTCCTGAAGTGCTGTCAAGACCGTGTAAGTGAAAAACATGCGTGTTTCCCTTCGGAGCTGTCGCTCACGATTTTAGTCATCGTGCATGTCATGAAGGCTTTCCATCTTATTCTGATCCGACTGTCAACCCTTTCGGAAATTTTATTGTATATCAATTTAAGCGACTTCTATATTTCCTGTACTGATTCGGTAGCCAGACAAATAACATTTTTGGCAATCTCATCAGCTGTTTCGTTTCTCGGATTTACATATTTTGTTATCTGGAATCCTATATATACCAGGTTATTCAAAAAGTTTTGTCGTTTGATAAGAAAAACACAATTTTATGATTCAAAATACACTTTATTATTCAGTATCTCCCTGGACTTGCACCAATGATCCTCCAATCTGTGAATTTCATCCCTGAAATGAGAATCCGGAAGGTCTGCAAAAAACACTTCAACAGCTTCTTCATTTGATGAAAAACGCTTGCCAAGCTTACATTTTATGAGTTCTGAAAACAAATGGAAGTCGCTGGCGGGCAAATTTGGTGAATACGGTGGACGCTCCAACAATTCGAACTTTAATTCATGGATTTTAGCCATTGCAAAAATGTCTTTGTGACACGGTGCATTGTCCTGATGAAAAAGGAACGATATACAGCCGCTTCTCGGCAGCCAACACAGCTACTGATTCTTTGCTTCTAAGGACATTATCTGTCATTACGATGTGAAATTATTGCTAAATTGCCGCTTGACTATCGACGATTACCTATATTCTTCTTTATGTTGTTTCTGCGTTGTTAGCTACCTCGGTCGCTTTTTTGAAGGCAAAATTCTTTCCCTGGAAAATGGTGTAGTATTGAGGAAGCTTGTAGAGTTGCCTGAGATCCAGCTACGGGCAATAAATTCCGGCTCCCTTTCCGTGAGCCAGTTTGATCAGTGGGAATCTAAATGTTATTGATTCCGCTAGCGAGTCTCACTTTTATGAAATAAGGATTCAGTGCATCCGATGAATTTATACGTTCTTGGGGGGAAAAAGAACATGCACAAAAGAAAAAATTCTCCGACATTTCCTCCTGGGCATTTTCTTTTAATAAGTTAAGATTCATTGATCCAAGTAGCAAGAAGGGCAATAAAAATGATTACACCCTTAAAACTGACGCAGGCAACCGGCAACATCATGTTTATTGCAGACGACCACGAACTGACAGCGATCGGACGAAATTACTACTACTTAGCTCTAATGTATTGGATCTTGCTTTTCTACAGCGACTATAAACACTTATGCGTACAAACAATTTCCCAACTAAGTATGCATACATACACACAAATATATGCCTTTGGCGTTCTTACTAAACCCGTTTATTTTATTTATTTTACTTTCCACACCAAGCCGTTCGCTTGTCAATTTGTGGTGTCATAAATTGTATAAAATAAATTTTAGCCAAACAATAAATTTGAACGCTGCTTATAAAAGGAATTTCGCTGCAACAAAAAAAAAAAAAACAACTTGAGCTATAAGTGGAATTTCCTTTATCACCAGCCAAGCGAATTTCGTAACATAAATTTCTTATATTCTATAAAGTTTTCGCAGCGCGCTATTGTTTACTTTTTATTTTGTTGCGCCACTCAACAATGTGTACGAGTATAATCAACTCGTAGTCGCATTATCTTTGGTACGCGCCCCACCCAAGGCTGCCTGCCTGGCCAAATGATTGGGAGTTATGTTGTGGCCGCAACTTGGCACAAACAACAACAAATGCGAGCATATGTATGCGCATACGGCATAGATCTGGCCAGTTTGTGGCAACGTGATGTAAAATCTGTTGAAAATTGCATCATAATCAAAGCAGCTGGCGGCGTGGCAATGGACACACTCTACGCCAGCGTTTGGCTGTTGGTCTTGTCGTACTCGCGCGCGCAGTTCGTTGGCACAGTCATTAGAAGTCACTAATTTGGCGATGGATTGATTGTACGAAATTCAATAAATTTCATTAAGTATTTGAACGATCAAGTGCAGGTGTTAGTAGGTAAATATATCAAAACATTTTCATATTGAGGGGTTGAAAAAGTTTGGATGGTAATGTATATATATATATAAACAGAAGTTGAAATAACATAAGAAAGCAAAATTTATTCGCGAAGAGGGTGTCTTCATTCTTGAGTTTATAAAAATTTTGTAGTTCGGGTGTCGTACCTTGGAACAAGTCTGTGATTAGTGAAGTTTATAAGTAAGATGAAAAGTCGAGAGGGGCATTTCATGCTCAACTAAATAAATAATTTCAAGAAGACAATATTTAACTCCCATTGAAAATTTTCGCTCTGAAATAATCAAGGTAATTTTTTTGCAAATTAAAAAACCTAACATCGAATATTTTTAAAATTTCCAAGATAGTTCTATTGGGTAGTCGAGTCTTTTCATATTTCTAATCAAACTTAATTTTTTTTTTTATTTATAATGAATCAAAAATGTACCATTTTGGTCCACCACTCTTTGCCATTTTTCCGCTAGAGACATTATTCCATCAGTGTACAACTTTTTTGGTTTTTCGGCGAAAAACTGCGACATGTAATTTTCACAGGCTTCTTTTGAAGCCAACTTTACTCGATTAAGAGAGTTCTGCATTGACCGAAACAAGTGGTAATCCGGTGCAAGGTCAGTGTTATATGGTGAATGCATCAAAACTTCCCAAGTCGAGCTCTTCCAGTTTTTGACGAGTCATCAAAGACGTGTATGGTCTAGCGTTGTCCTGATGAAAGACGAAGCCCTTTCTGTTGATCAGTTCTGGCCGTTTTTTTCCAATTGCTTGCTTCAACCTCATTACTCGTTGACAGCAAAACACTCAGCTTAACCTGTCGACCCGTCAATCCTAGCTTTGCGACCATTTGTTGAACTTCACCTTGCTTGGATCATGATCTTTTTCGAGCATTCTTATCGTATTTGATCCTGTTACCATTCGCTTCAGAAATTTTTCGATTTCATTTAGTTGCAGCAAATAATCGCAGATGTTAATTCAGTCCATTAAATTTTTCACATACAAGTCAGGTGGTACCCAAATGTCGAGAATCTTTTTGCAGCCAGCTTTTT